GGAAATACAGGAGACTGAGATGGGGATGGTCTCTCAGAGAGGAAGTGTTGGAGGCAGAGCTGATGACTGGTGCGGAGGCACGGAGCGGCTGCACACCCAGTGATTAGCTGTCATGCTTGATTGCATCTGTAGCTGGTGCTCGGTTTGTGGGATGCAAAGGCTGTCCAAGACTTGCTGCCTGTTAGTGCAGCGTGTGGCTCTGCGACGCGGCTTTCCCTGTGGCTTTCTCAGTTCAGACATGAGCAGTTTAGCAAGGTGCAGTGTTGGGCAGAGCTCGCTTCTGGAGCTGAGCTCCTTTCTTTGGTAGAGCCCCCGGGCTGTGCTCGAGCATTGCCCCAGCTGGCGCTTCACGGTCTCAGCTGCTGCAAGGAGACTTGTGAGGATGCCTTCCCTAGTAATTGGTGACTCTGGATACTAGTGATTAGCTCAGTCCCACTCTGCGAAGGGAAGCTGGAATGTTTGAAGGTACTCTCCTTTCCCAGTCTCTGAGAAAATCACTGGATCAGCCTGTCCTGTTTATACTTTGCTGTAACTGTAAACTATTTGGCCCAATTCTTTCATATGTTGATGTAAGTGAGGAGCAGCTGCTCTGAGGTGCACAGCCTATCTATTACCTCTCTCTGCTGAAAAAAGGAGGTCCTGCAGGAGGAGATGAATTGTATCCTAAAAGTACGCTTTTGCTCCACGGCAATTATTCAGATTTAGATCTAGGTGCACACCATAAATGCCTGATATTAGGCGAGGTTTATCTTACTCCAGTGTGCTGGACTGTAAACTCTTTGGGATAAGCCTTGTGATTGCCTTGGTGTTTGTGTACCACGACGGATCCCCATCCAATGGCCTTCTGCCATTACGGCAGCCTAAGTGGGGTTGTTTGGAGCAGTCTGAACAGCAGGGCTGGGCAAAAGTCCTGCAGCACCGTTCAAGAAACAGATGAGCAGCTACTGTGTAAGCTAGTATGCCGACAACAATGGAAATTGTTGGCCCGATTTCAGTGGGGTGATGCAGTTTGCTTTAGCAGTGCAGCTCCTTGCAGACGCCTAGCAGTGGATTTCCAGCAGAGGTTTAAACTTAGTGCACTTCCACTTCTGGGGACTTTTTATTTGGGGCCTGTGACTTTACCATGAGTGGTCCTCAAGAGCAAGCTTTCCAGCTGGAGTTGCGGGGGCTGGTATTGAGGAGTTCTGAAAATGAGGTTCTTCATCAGGACAACTCGAGCCTTGAATTGTTCATTCAGTTGAAATCTCTCTCAGAATGGAGCTGCCACCTTCTATGTTCGGGCTGGGCATGCCTTGATCTCTCTCACCATTCTTTTCTATTGCAGGATGCTCGCTCCTTGGCTGCAGCCCCCACCCCATCTGGTGCTAGAGCCAACACGGTGCTGGAGAGGGTGGAGGGGGCCCAGCAGCGCTGGAAGCGCCAGGTGCAGGAGCAGAGGAAGACAGTTTTCGACCGCCACAAGATGCTGAGCTAGTTTGCTGAGCTATGCGACACCACTTCCCAAGAGACCGCTAGTCGAGACAGACAGCAAGTCATCCGTGGTGTTTGACTGAAAGCTCTAACCCTCTCTGATTTACCGTCTTCATAGAGAGAAGCAGACCAAAATGCTTGCCTCTGGTTTTGTCCCCTTGTCCTTTACCTTTCAGCCCAGAGGCTCCTTAACCCTTGCCTGGCTGAGATCTGCGCTGATCGTTAGTCCCGTGGCTGCATGTAAATGGTGGGTTGTATGCAGTGCTGCTGCCCCGGTTCACGGGCTGACTCGAGCAAGGGCTGCAGTGCCAGGGTGCTGTGCTTGGCTGGACCCTGCGGGCACCCACTTACTGGGACTGAAGTCTCCATCAGCCCACCCCTGCATCAGAGACAGGGATCTCAGTACAGCGTGTTGGAAGCTGGCTGAGTCTTCCTGGGATAATTTTTATGTGGGATAAATTATGTGGTGTTCCTCCAGGATGAAGAAGCCTCTTCCTCCTCCAGTCTGCACCGATGTTAATTGGGTGTTGTGGTGCTGAGACAAGTGCGGTGCGCTGGAAGGAAGAGGAGGGGGTTCCCTGCCAGTGGTCGGCTGCTGCTTGTACTTACCCTGGTGTAAACGGAGTGGATTTCCACACTCTTCAGGGGAGTCTGTCCAGATTTACACCAGCATAACTGAGACTGCAGCTTGTTTCCGTGTAGGTGAGTATCACAAACCTGATGAGTACATTCACAAGTAAGAGACCAACAGGTAAAAGGTTGATTTACGTTAATATCTTTTTCCTGCTTTAGCAGTGGATAAAAACGTACTGAGGAGAAAGCTTTCCGTTTGTTCCCACATTGGTAACCCTTGATGCTGTCGTAGTGTGGTCAGGAGTATTTTGTGTCCGAGAGAACTGGGGCAAAGGCTCTACTGGAGCACTGTAAACACTTGTCTGGGTCTGGGGGCCCTGGGAAGGGGACACTTCTGCTACTCAGAACACTCCAAGAGCTCTGACTGTACTTGGGCTGTGTGATTCTGAAGTGATGCTGTGTGAAACTGAAGTGATTCTGCAATGCGTATTATTGATCCCACTGAGAACATTTATTATGTCAGTAAGGTGCTGGAGTTTATCATGTAGCATCTCTGTATTAAATGCAGACAAAGATCTATTACACGGCTGGCTTTTTTTTCAGGGAAAAGTCACTTCACAGCAGGTCTGGGGCTCCCAGCGCTGAGTGGCTGCTCTTCAGGCTGCCTTCCAGTGCCCAGCAGGCAAGTTGATGCAAGACCTCAAGACAGAGCTGTGGTTACGGCACTCGGGTGTTTTGGCACTGGAGGTGGGTCCCCTGGCACTGGTTTGTGCCTGTCGGTGTTCAGAGGGTGACTGTCTTGCTCCAGGAGAGCCGGGCTTAAAACACCGGCAAACCAGAGCAGTCTTGCTTGGCACAAGTTAGGAACTGCTCTGGGCTGTCTCACAGGAAGGCCAGGCAGATCAGAATTCCTCGTTTATTGAAAGCTGAGCAATTGTTGCTGAAAGCCTAATTGGGAGAGGCACTGGTCACTGCCTCGTGTGCTAGTACCAACAGCTTTAGATCGAGCTGCCCATCAGGATCGAGCCCTCCAGACAAATCCGAACAAAGCTTTTTGGGGGCTTTGTGCCTGCAGCCTGCGTGTACCCCACTTACCCTTCAGCACCTCAGTGGGCTAAAAAGTACCCTCACATTATACCGAGGTCACATTTTTCTTTCCCATCCTTGTTCCATTACTCGATTGTTGAACCTTTCTCCCCCTTTTGGAAACCCTCTCTTCCCTGTCCTTCCCGCTCGGGGTGAATCCCGCATGGACACCGGGTATGGTCCCTGGAAATTGTACCCTCTTTGAGAGGGGGAAAATCTGTTTGAAGGGTCTGAACACAAACAGCGGCTGGATGAGAGCTGCCGAGGCTGTCGCGCAGGGACTGAGCCAGCGTGGTGGGTCCATCTGGTGGCCGCTGCCCCTCTGATCAGCACCGAGACATCGGTGATCACCAGCGGGGTCGGGTTCCTGCTCCCAGCGACAGGACCCCTGGGGCCCTGATCCTGGAGGGCGAGGGGTTTGGTGGTTTGGTGAGCAGCACCCCCATACCTTCCCCTGACCCCTCCCAGGAACAACTTGAAAATGGGATAGGAGAGGAAAAAAACAAAAACCAAACATGCAGGTTAGAAATCAGGAGTTGGTGGGTTAGAAAACTCAGATAGGGAAGGGATGGTGTGGAGAGGTTGCAAAAAAATGTCACTGCCTCGTTAATTATTTGGTTAATTAGCTGATTAGCTTTGTCCTGTACACCATCCTCCCCATACCCCCTGCATTGCATCCTGGCGCATCCCCTGAGCAGGCACAGCCTCCACATCCGACAGCGGTGCCTGCCATCCCTCTGGAGACAGGCAGCAGTGCCGGCAGGAGTTAATAATTTAATTCCTTATCAAAAAAGGGAGTGAGAAAAATAAAGGACCTCTTAGTTCAAAACCCAGCCGCTTGGCAACCTGCCACATCCATGGTCAGGTGCTTGCCATAGTCCAGATGTCGATGCTCTGGATGATGAGCCACTCGCTTTGGTCCTGGGTTACCCGGATCCTCACGCACTCCACGGGGCCAGGCATCCCCCTCTCCAGCTCCCGCTGCTCAAAGGTCCCCTTCTCGAAGGTGCCCACAGTGGTGTAGGCAGAGCAGTCCCGGCCATCAGCCTGCCGCCGCCGGCCCAGCTCCAGCACCCCCGCACGCAGGAAATCACCCTGGCGCTCGTCGGAGCCTGTACGCACCCGAACATGGGTGACGCGGGCCGGTTGCTGGAAGACGATGGAGAAGATGCTGCCGGCAGCTGGGTGTTTCCCCCAAAAATACCCCTCTGCTGAGCTGTAAGCCTTGAGGGGCTTGTAGTTCTCAAAGACAGACATGTTGGTGAACAAGGCCGCCGGCGGGTTGTCCGGAAGGTCCAAGGCATCGGCCTGGAATTCATCATCCTCCAGCCGGTTGACAGTGCCCTGGAAGGAGGAGTAGAGGCCCATATGCTGGAAGAGGGAGGGCTTGAAGCGGATGACATCCTTCTGGGTAAGCAGGAGGCGGAAGTGGACGAGCAGCCAGTCACAGGGCATCTCCTGGTAGAAGAGGAGGAGGAAGTGAGCCAGGCGAGGAAGGTCACTGGAGCGGTAGAGCTTACCGATGTAACCCAGCTTGGAGAACTCAAGGGTGGCCCAGTTGGAGCCTTCCCGGGAAGCCAGTGCCTTGCGGATCGCCGTCAAGAAGGACTTGGCGCACCACACATCATCCTCAATCATCAAGTAGTAGGAGGAGAGGTTGGCGGCAAAGGCGAGGAGGAAGGCATAGTCCACGTTCTGCTTGGATCTGAACCTCACCCGCTCCTCTGGGTCGTTGTAGTTTCTCTTGAGGCCTTCCAAGGTGGGGTAAAACTCATGGGGAGCGTGGATAAGCAGGAGCCGGCCCAGGAGGATGTGATGAGCAAACTTGTGGGCGATGTTGGTGGCCACATGCGTGTTCCATCTGGGGTCTGCGTCAGCCAGGTGCACCACCACCACCATCTCCTGCAGTTCCTCCTCCGTCGACTGCTTGAAGAGGGACTGGAGTGTGTCCAGGAGGTAGTAGCCACGTGGCCGCTGCACCGACGCCAATCCCACCGTCAAGAATTCTGCAAGGCAGAGGAAAGGCATTAGCAGGCTGAGGGGTGACCTGGGATGCACCATGGTGAGGTTTTTCCCCTGCAAGCCACAAGGATAGGAGTTTCAAAAAGCTCTCCCCATGGCCAACCCGCATGGTTAATGCTATCTATGGACCCATGTCCAAGGCTGGCAGGTCCTTTCTGAAGCTAAAGCCCCCAGCGTCTCAGGAGGTGCCCAAAATTGGCCCAAGTGGCAGGGGGAAGGCAGGATGAGAAGTCAGGGGCTCTTCTAAAGAAGAAATATTTGGGAAAAACACCTTTAAAAAAAGCCAAACCTGGAGGAAGGAACAGTGAGGAGACAGTCTACAGGGCAGGGACAGCTTTGTGGCATGGCTACACATCCTGGAAGCATGCCCCTACCCTCCTCCGAACCTTGTGGAGATGCAACCACGCTGGGATGAGGCATCCTCCTGCCCTCCCCACAGCCCAGCTGTGGCTGCAGCTTCTGTTGCTGCTGGTCCGCGCAGCACCGTGCACGTACTGGATCTCCAGTTTGAGCATGGGCTCGTGCGGAGCTCCTCTAAGCTCCTTCCTGCGCTGTTTGCATGTGAATTGCTTTTCATGCTCCTGTCCAAGAGCTTGACCCACATCTCCCACACTGTGCGGTTGTCCTGGTGTCCAGCCCCACCATCTCCACCTTCCTGACTGAAGAGCAGGAAACTCAACCCCAGGGAGATGGGATCACAGCCACCCTCCCCAAAGAGATCCAGGAAACCCCAAATGTCCGTGGTCACCCCAGTCCCAAGGTGCAGAAGCATGGACCATGCTTGGAGCATGTGGACCTTCCACTACCCCTCCACCTCCTCAGACAGAGTAGCGAAGGCTGGCTAGGGAGGAGGTCACCAGGTATTGGCAGATCCCCAGTCCCACAAAGGTTGGAAGCAGACCCCTCCCCACCCCGGCAGCAGCAGTGATGGGGCAGGTCCATGCTGGGACATGCAGCTGCAATGTGAGAGATGTACAAACCCAGAGCCCTGCTCAATCCGGGGTCCCGGAGCCACTCACTTTTGTGGGGTGACAAGGAGCCAGCGAGGAGCTGGTAGGAGACGTTGTGGAGTGCGGAGAGCCCATCCATGTCCTTGAAGATGCGCTGGGCTCCTTCAGGCTGCAGCATCTGCAGGACCAAGTCTGGGGCCAAGCCCCTAAGCTCCACCTGGATGGGAGCCATGGGCAGCCAGATCAGATCCCAGGACACACGTGAGCAAGGGGGAATGACAAGTGAGGGACCCAGAAATGAGGGGGAGCCCCTGTCCTGCCCTCCCAGCTCCTGGATGGGGGGAGGCTGAGGTGCACAGGGCAACTCCAGGGA